AATCAAACGATTGGTTCTCTAGCGTCTGGGGCATTTCCCAACCTCAGCCAAGCCGGAGGCTCGCCTCCCGTGTCTCAGTGATTGGTTGGTGTCAACCAACATTCCGATGAAATACCTGGCAACACGCAAATAAGCCGCCCGAAAACTGGGATGTCGAAACCTACTGGCCAACTGGACAGGTTTGCGAGGCGTTGACGATTGGTTTTACCCCTCCAGTTGTCAATGACTGGCTTACGGTTGGAAAACCAGAAACCCAAGTTTCGCGATGAGGGGGGTAAGGGGACCAAAGGTCCCCATGTTGGCCTTGCCGTAAGATGGGCAGAAATTCAAACTCTTCTGTGCGTTAGTATGGATGGATCATCCTTGGCTATTGATGTACCGTATATGATAAGATTATTATTAAAAAAAAAAAAAAAAAAAGGCTCAAACATTTTTTTACCAACGCAGGCTGGTTTGGAGTCCCATCAAAATCTAGGGACGCAACTGTTTGGAAGTTATTTGGTTACAAATGGTTGGTAGAGTGCAACTCAACATGGATTTTGAATCTGACTTGACTACGGTACGGTTGTTCACACACACTCTTACACCGCATTCAATGTTCTCTCCAGTAAGGGCAATGAGAAGAGATTGGTTTTCGCCATCATGCTCATCCCACTTTGTTAGATCGCACCCGAGACGGAAATAAAAGCATAGGTGTTATGCGACTTGCATGCTATCACAAGTTCGTGTCTTGTTAAGAACTTGAATGGGCCTCTGGTTGGGAATCAAAGACGGAATTTGGGTGCAAGGAAAAAAGAATGATACTGTCCAACCAACATGACAGACACCCCTCCCGCTACTACCAATTCAAACCCATACATTCATGTTGTAGTTAGCCCGGAACATCAAACGGTTGAAAGTGTAGAGTACAGCAGAGCACATGGAAACTGAAATACTTGTACCGTACATTGGCCGTGTAGAGTTTGATTGGGAACCACCAGTTTCCAACACTATCCTGCTGCATCAACAAACAGGGACATCTACATCAATAGAACGCAACCTTCGCGCACATAGCATTCGAACGCCATCAACACGGAGATCGCGATCACCTACGCCGACTCTCTCGGCACTTCATAAAGGCCATGAACCGCAACTACACTCGCCAAGTCTTCAACGCCCCAATTGCACATGTCTCAGAAGACCCAATTGTAATGAAGCCCGTTGCCTTTGCAAGAACAGAAAACAAGCTTTCTCAATATGAGAATTTTCGAAAGTGTGTAACACTTTCTAAAAATGCGTATTGTGAAAGTGCAGCTACCTGTAACAAAGCAAAGCAACGGCGAATTACAACTCGCCGAGTACATGAGGGTTGGAGGCCATTCGGCCTCCACCTGAATGGCCTCCACCCACGACTTCATTTCGGAACTTTGCAGTTCCACCCCCCACCCACCCACCCTAGTTGTAGATTTGTATGATCCATAATTGGACGAGAATGTTGTATTACTGCAATTGTAATGAAGCCCGTTGCCTTTGCAAGAACAGAAAGCAAGCTTTCTCAATCCGAGAGAATATCAACGGGAATTGGAAATGACATTCTGAAGAGTCTGGGAAATCAACCGCTATACTCAGTATTTGGAGCCAGGGGTTTTGGTCCATGCACTTCTCTTTGGTATTTCTGCACAGAATGGATAATGTAATTAGGGCAAACAGAGCAACGTGCCAACCCACAACCTATTTACTGTACAATCATATCCTTTGTTAAGCTCCCTGAACATGTCAATCTTCCGGCGGTATTTCTTAGCGATCAACATGCCACATGTATCTCCGCGCTTCACACTATATAAGCGGTTGGTTGAACATGTATTGCCAGAAAACGGTCGGCTGTCAACACTAGCCACACAAATCTGTGAGTCAGCCATTAGTGGGAACAGGATGGAAGGAGAAGAAAAAGACTTGCATATGATAACCTTTACACACAGACAGACACAGACAGACATACAGACACAAGACACAGACACAGACACAGACACAGACACAGACAGACACAGACAGACATACACAGACACAAGACACAGACACTGACACAGACACACAGTCAAAGAGACAGAGACAGGGACAGGGACAGAGACAGAGCCAGAGGTAGACACAGACAGAGACAGAGACAGAGACAGAGACATAGACATAGACAGAGACAGACAGAGACAGAGACACCAGACACAACACCAGACACGGACACGACACCAATACGGACACACTCCATTGCACAAACTCTCGCACACTCTCTTGCACACTCTATCTCTCGCACATTCTCTCTCTCTTGCGCCCACACTTCCACCGCACCACAATGTAGGACAGTTTACATGCATGTGAGGCCATGCATGTGGAGTCATGCATGTGAGGCCATGCATGTGGAGTCATGCATGTGAGGCCATGCATGTGGAGTCATGCATGTGGAACCACGCATGTGAGAGGTGTTATGTGCATATGCATAGAACACTGTATTCACCATACTCACAGTATTGGTCAGCAGGGGGCTGTACGGCAGCAGGGTAGCGCAAGGAAACCCAGGATTCATCTGGAACAAGGAGACTTTTTAGTCAACCCCGAGTTCATCTGGAACAAGGTGACTTTTGAGTCAACCCGGAATTCATCTGGAACAAGGTGACTTTTAAGTCAACCCGGGATTCATCTGGAACAAGGTGACTTTTGAGTCAACCCGGGATTCATCTGGAACAAGGTGACTCCCCGAGTTCATCTGGAACAAGGTGACTTTTGAGTCAACCCGGGATTCATCTGGAACAAGGTGACTTTTAAGTCAACCTGGAATTCATCTGGAAGAAGGTGACTTTTGAGTCAACCCGGAATTCATCTGGAAGAAGCATGTGGGAGAGGCAGTGGCAAACGCTCAATCCCCTCCCCTTACCTTCACCCATCCCCCATCCCCTTCCCTTCTCCCTTACCCATCCCCCACTCCCCTGCAAACCCCACACACAGACGCCCAACTCACCCGACTCATCATGTTGCCCTGCAGGGGGCTGTGCGGCAGCAGCGCATTCCCCAACCTTCTCACCCCCCATCGCCACACACAGGCCTTCCAACTCACCTTGCTCATCATATGAATCCCCCCAGCCATACTCATACCCCACCCACCAGCCCAGCTCACCTTGCTCATCATATTGCCCCGCATTGGGCTGTACGGCAGCAGTGCATCACATGATAGCCTGGGATTCATCTGGAAGAAGCGCGTGGGGGAGTCGATGGCAAACGCCCGCCACAGCTGCTGGCAGCTCTGCGGGCCCTGCAGCACAGTCACGGGCACACCTAGGCTCGTGTAGTTGGCAAGAGGCGGAGGAGGGGGTGGTTGAGGGCTCGGTGAGGGTGTGGGCGCGGTTTGTGTCACGGCTGGGGTGATTTGGGCTTGCAGTTTGCATGATATGTGGGTCTTTCCCTCCTCAAGCCACGTCTGGTTGAAGTCAACACAGAGGAGCTGGGGAGGAGGGATGGAGGGGAACAGGGGAGAGGAGGGAGAGAGGGGAGAAGGGGGAGAGGAATGTGTGAACAAACCCCCAATATTGTGGAGATCAAGTTTGGAGACTAAATTGCGTCATGTGATGTGACGTGACGTGAAGTGATGTGACTTGACATGACGTGACGTGACGTGACGTGACGTGACGTGACATGACGTGACGTGACGTGAGGTGACGTGACGTGACGTGACGTGACATGACGTGACGTGACGTGACGTGATGTGACGTGATGTGACGTGACGTGATGTGATGAGATGTGTGATATGATATATTATGATCTGATCTGATGAGATATGATGAGATCTGATGTGATATGATGTGATGTGATGTGACGTGACGTGACGTGACGTGACGTGACGTGACGTGACGTGACGTGACGTGACGTGACGTGGCGTGACGTGACGTGACTTGAACTGACGTGACGTGACGTGATGTGATGTGATGTGATGTGATGTGATGTGTGATATAATATATTATGATCTGATATGATGAGATATGATGTAAGATGTGATGTGATGTGATGTGATGTGATGTGGTGTGGTGTGGTGTGGTGTGGTGTGGTGTGGTGTGGTGTGGTGTGGTGTGGTGTGGTGTGGTGTGGTGTGATGTGATGTGATGTGATGTGATGTGATGTGATGTGACGTGATGTGGTGTAATGTGGTGTGGTGTGATATTCTGATAATCTGTCATTGCAACAGCTTCAGTTACCAACATGCAGTGCGCACCTGCATTTCCGTGCACCCACCTACACTCACCTCCACCCACCTACACCCCCCTCAACCCACCTACACTCACCAACACCCACCTACACCCCTCAAAAAACCACTGACACGTATCTGCAACCACAAACACTCACGTGCACTCGCCTAAACTCACTTGCACCCACCCGCACCTGCTGCACCCACCATCACCCACCTGCACACACCTGCACCCACCATCACCCACCTGCACCCACCTGCACCCACCATCACCCACCTGCACCCACCATCACCCACCTGCACCCACTATCACCCACTCGCACCCACCTGGCCGGGCCTGGGCCCATCGGAGCAGGTGAGGGCGGGGTTGAGCGGCTGTATCTGCGTGGAGAAGAGGGCGTTGAGTGAGTCACACGTGTCACCCTGCCGGCACATGAGGAAAGGGGGAGACAAAGAGAATGGGGGGTTAAAAAACCGCGAGAGGAGAGTGGGGAAGAGTGTTGAGTGAGTCACACGAGTAACCCGCCAGCACACATGTCAGGTACGGGAGGAAGTGGAAGCAGGAACGTGGTTATTTGGAGAATTAAGTTGAGCTGCTGTATCTGCGTGGAGAAGAGGGTGTTGAGTGAGTCACACGAGTCACATGTGTCACCCTGCCAGCACACGAGTCACATGTGTCACCCTGCCAGCACACATGTCAGGTATGGGAGGAAGTGGAAGCAGGAACGTGGTTATACGGAGAATCAAGTTGAGCGGCTGTATGGGAGTGGAGAAGAGGGCGTTGAGTGAGTCGCACATGTCACCCTGCTGGCAGACAGGGACCAGGGATGGGGATGGGCAGATGGATGGGAATGGGCAGATGGATGGGGATGGGCAGATGGATGGGGATGGGCAGATGGATGGGGATGGGCAGATGGATGGGGATGGGCAGATGGATGGGGATGGGCAGATGGAGGGAGTGGGGAGATGGAGGGGGTAGGAAATGCAAACACAGGCGGCGATTCAGAGTGAGCAGTGAGGAGGGTGGTGAGTATTTGAGTTTAAGCTCAACGGCACTTACATAAACGCACTGGAAATTACGTCAACACAATGGCGCTTACATAATTAGCAGTGTACATGGAAGTGCATTGGGAAAAAGCCCGGCTAGTGACGTTGACCAGAGTGTCTACAGGGATGGGCACTCGGCACTGGAACCCCTGCAGTCAGCACAAGGAGAGAGGGAGGATTGGATGGGTTGGAACAAGGAGTCAGAGAAAGAGGACTGGATGGGTTGGAACAAGGAGTCAGAGAAAGAGGACTGGATGGGTTGGAACAAGGAGTCAGAGAAAGAGGACTGGATGGGTTGGAACAAGGAGTCAGAGAAAGAGGACTGGATGGGTTGGAATGGAACGTGGGTAGTTGACAAAAAAGAAAGACTATCAACCCCTTCCCATCTTGCCTTGAATGGAACATGGGAAGGGGTTGTGGGTTTGAAAGCCCTGCAGTTAGAACACGGAGAGATTGGGACGAGGCAGGCAGGGTGGGTGGTGGGAAGAATGAGGGGAAAGTGAGGGACTCTGGAGGGGATTGAGGAGCAGTGAGGGGCAAGTGACTAGAAAGCATACAGGTGACTAGACAGGGTCCAGTGTAAAAGGCTATGCGGTGGGATGTGACACGAAATAAAACGTGGGTGCTTCCCAACCACTGCCTGGCCTATATTGGAATCACTTTTGAGTCTTCTCAAAAGTGAAGTGAAGTGATGTGATGTGATGTGATGTGATTTAAAATATGCTGCCCAAACACAGCCTAAGCCTCCCTTCGGTTTAACACCTCCCTGACCAAAGCCTTTCATACCTTGTTTTGGCTGAAGAAGTCCGCTTGGGTGAGCCCGTAGGTGTTGAGGATGAGAGCGCATGCGACCTTTTATAGCGCCTCATAAGCCAACCTGATAACCTTTGTAAAATCCGTCAAGAGGCTGACCTTGTTCTGGCTGAAGAAGTCCGCCTGGGTAAGCCCATAGGTGTTGAGGATGAGAGCGCATGTGAGGCCAAAGGGTGACAGGAAGGTGGGCATTCGAGTCGCAGCCAATCGCACTGCATGCATGGGATAGGATGAATGTGGTAAGGATGCATGGGGTAGGATGCATGGGGTAGGATGCATGGGGTGAGCATACATGTCGAGTTGATTTCTCGGATCACGATTTCGGCGCGGAATCGCGACCCGCGTTTTACTGTAAGTTTTTATTCCGGGCTGCCCGAAATATTTTCGAGGCAGCGTGAACTGTTTCGACGCTGCGTCAATCGACAAGCGCAAAAACGAAGGTTCTAACGCTTGCCGGTTTCAGCGCCAAAGCCAGCACAGTTCCCTTGACACCAAATTGTGTTCAACTAGGGCTTTTGACAGACCCTAGTTTACCACCTAGCAAATTCCCTTCAGGAGCAGAGCCGACTTTTGAGTTGACTCAAGACTCATCTAGGGCTTTTGGCAGAACCTAGTTTACCACCTAGCATTTTCCCTTCAGGAGCAGAGCCGACTTTTGAGTCGACTCAAGACTCAACTAGGGCTTTTGGCAGAACCTAGTTTACCACCTAGCATTTTCCCTTCAGGAGCAGAGCCGACTTTTGAGTCGACTCAAGGCTCATCTACGGCTTTTGGCAGACCCTAGTTTACCACCTAGCATTTTCCCTTTAAGAGCAGAGCAAGGTGGTAAGCAAGCAGGCAAGAGCAAGCGTTACTGTGTTACGCAGAGGTAACAGCGGGCAGCTCCTTTGGGGATGAATTAAAAGGGGGAGAAGGGTGAGGGGCAGAAGCATGGGGTAAACAAACCCACCCACTTCCCTTTTGGGGACAGAGGGAGGTGGTAAGAGTTACACACACTGGTGGCAGCGGGCAGTGGCTTTCGGGAAGAAGCAGATGGGGAAGCAGCACGAGGGGCAGAGGATGGTAACAAGCTAGCAAGCGAGCGAGCGAGCGAGCAAGTAAGACCATGTGGTACGCACAATGGTAACAGCGGGCAGTGCCTTTGGGATAGAAGTAGAAGGGGAAGTAGGGCGAGGGGCAAAGGCAGGAGTAGGTGCCGTCTATGTCATCAATGCACACCCCCGGGGCACATGGGTTGGTGGAGAGCTGGCGACACGTGAAGGAATCTGGTGAAGGCAGGGGGGCGAGGAAGGGGACAGAGAATCGGGGGAGCAGAGCGGGAAGAGAGCAGGAGTGAGGGATTAGCACACCAGCACAGCAGAGTGGGAAGAGAGCAGGAATGAGGGAGCAGCACAGCAGTACAGCATCAATGCAGAACCCAGGGACACGTGAAGAAACATGGTGAGGGGTTGGGGGGAAAAGGGGACGGTGGGGAAATGGGACAGGGGGACGGGGGATGGGGGACACGGGAGCAATGAGAAAGGAGGATGGAGAACAAGAAAGGAGGATGGAGAACAAGAAAGGAGGATGGAGAACAAGAAAGGAGGAGAAAGGAGACATGAGAAGGAAGGCAAAGAAGGGGGAAGGGGAAAGGTGGTGGGTTGGAAAGGAGGGGAAACGAGAAAGAAGGGTGTCGCAGGAGTAATCATAGTGCATAGAGTGCAAACCCTTCGCATCTTCTCAAGAGTGTCATGAATTGAGAACGAGTGCATGCGTACAAACCTATGCCATAGAGGTGACTTTAGAGTCGACTCAAAAGTCACCTCACTTTCTCAAGAGTGCTGTGAATCGAGGAGGAGTGCATGCGTACAGAACTATGCCATCCACAAACAAACCAAAAGGGAGCCTAAAGCACTCCACCTCTCACCTACTGCACTCCGCCTCTCACCTACCGCACTCCGCCTCTCACCCACCGCACTCTGCCTCTCACCTACCACACTCCACCTCTCACCTACCACACTCCACCTCTCACCCACCGCACTCCACCTCGTGCCTACCGCACTCCAACTCTTGCCTACCACACTCCACCACTCCACGCCTCACCAGGGAAGCAGGAGGGCAGGCCGGCAAGGTGTGAAGGTTGAAAGGAGGGGAGATTGAAGGGACACTTGCAGGAGGGCACGAGGATAGACGGGTCCCACGGGGCACGTGCCTTGGTGCATGCACCCGTGCCACAGGGGAGCACTGGAGAACCCTTGCAGGGGTCGGTGTCTGTTGGGGCGGAGGGAGGATGGGAACGGGGAGTATGCAAAGGTATGACTTAGGAGGAGAGAGAAGAGCAGGTATGCAAAGGGGGTGCAAGGAGATACAAGGGGTTGCAAGGGGATACAAGGGGTTGCAAGGTAATCCTCCCTCCCCTCTCCCTCCCCTGTGAATCAGAAGGTCCAGAAGGAGAAGGCAACAAGGGCAGGGCGCGTGGCTTGCTACCCATTCTCTTTTTCCCTCCCCCCCATCTCGCCCTCTCTCCCTCCCCCCCGTCTCGCCCTCTCTCCCTCCCCCCAATCTCGCCCTCTTTTCCCCCCCCATCTCGCCCCCTTCCCCTCCACCCTACCTGTGAACCGGAAGGTCCAGGAGGAGAGGGCGACGGGGGAAGGCAGGTGGCCGGAAGGGGGGGGGGGAAGGGAGAGCAGCGCTGGTGAACCCAACGAACAGCTGCCCAAAGGATGGCGACCAATGCTGCTAGTACCCACCATTCTCACCCCCTTCTCCCCCCCCCCTTTTCCTTCTCCTTCCTACCTGTGAATCTGAAGGTCCAAGAGTATATGGTGACAGGAGAGGGAAGGCGGCCAGGGGGGGGAGGGAGAGCAGCGCTGGTGAGCCCAACAAACAGATGCCCAAACGATGGCGACGCCAGGTCTGTCACACTGCTGTCACTGCTGCTGCTGCTGCTGCCACTTGTGGCGGTGGTGGTGGTGGTGGTGCTGCTGCTGCTCCTGCTGCTGCTACCACTGCCACCACCACTGCTGCTTCCGCTGGTGGCAGAGGGCCCAGTGAGAGCAGCACAGAGGTCAAGAGAGACATTCATGCTGTCCACTAGAAGAGGGGGTTGGTACCATCTGATCAGCATCTCCTTGCTTCTCCCGTTATAGTCAACCCTCATTTGTAGCACGTCCTCTGGCTCCACACCAGTTAACAACTTCTCCGAGAAAATCGAAGTCATGTTGAAGTCAGTGTTAACGTTTAAGTGTATAACATTTACATTGTCAGTTTCCGGGTGCCATTCCACAGCTACACTCCGCGCGCCGTCTGGCCAGCTGCCATTAGCGAGTCGCGAGGATGGGTCCCGGCCGTACCCCATATAAGCCCCGCCTAGGCCCACGCTCGCATGTGTGCTTATAACGAATGCGAGCCCTTGAGACGCGGATACGTTTATGGAAAATCCGTATGTGAAGGTGAACGAGCGAGCCATGCAGATTGGGGGTTCGGTTGCTGTGGGTTGCGGAGGGGAGGAGGAAGGAGAGGAATGGGGGGAGCTGCGAGGACGACGAGGAGGAGGAGGGAAAGGAGGGGAGGAGGAGGAGTAGAGGAGCGGGAGACGGCGAGGGAAGAAGAGGGCTCCGGGGGCGGGATCATCTGATTGGCCGGTAAATGTCACGTCAGCAGCAGCGACGGAGAGATCAGCGGCGAAGAAACGCTTCCTTGTGCTGCCACGTGTCTGCAGGGGAGTGGCTGGTGTGATGTAGGGGAAGGAGAACGAGTCTGCCGCCCAAAACGGAAGCGAATCCTCGGCTGCTGGGGTTGGCATAAGATTTTATGTAGGGGCGGGGCCAAGAGGGGGGGAGGGTTAGAGAGGCTTACACTAGGCAATGGGGAGACACTTGAACTCAACTCATCCTCCCATACTTCAAACTTCAACCCCAGCACAGCACCTCATGTGGGCATGAAACACTGCAGATGCTGATAAGATAAGCAGATAATCATACCTCTGGGTCATTTCCCCCAAGCTCCTCACATGGGTCGAGCTACTCACAGGTGATATAGTAAAGCAAGGGTGATTCACCCCTAAAATACGCTCAAAACAGGGTCAGGGAGGAGGGCACTCAGACTCACCCTCCCCGACTTGGACATCCACCCCAGCACCTCCTAAGGTCCCTCCCAACAACTCACCCTCCGCCACTTGTAACGTCCACCCCAGCACCTCCTAAGGTCACTCCCAATAACTCACCCTCCCCGACCTCAAAATTCCACCCCAACACCTCGTGCAACTCTTAAGGTCACTTCACTCCCAACAACTCACCCTCTCCGACTTCAAAGCTCCACCCCAGCACCTCGTGTGCCTGAACCTGCTCCGCCCCCTACCCCATCCCTCCCCACGGCTGTACTATTATCATGAGAATTCCAACAACTCACCCTCTCCAACTTCAAAGCTCCACCCCAGCACCTCGTGCGCCTGGGCCTGCTCCGCCCCCTTGCCCGTGGCCGCTGTGAATCCCACAAACAGCGGCGGGGGGGGCGCTGCTGCCTGTGGGTCGTTCCCCCCCAGCCACTCACAGGTGTCCAGGAATGTGGTGAGCACGGCCGAGCGCGGGAGAGGGGGAGCGAAGAAGGAAGAAGCAGAGCGAGAGGAGGAGCGGGGGACGGGGGAGAGCCAGACGGTGAGCTGAGAGGAGGAGGCGTTGTATCGGATCGTGGCGAGGAAGGGTTGACCGGCGTTGAGGGCGGGAATGCCGAGGGGGTGCACGGGGGCAGAGGCGAGAGAGAGCATGCTGCCGTGCAGGTTCACCCCCACGTGGTGGTCGGGCCGGTCGAAGAATTCAGGAGAAGAGGATGTGTCAAACTCCACTGCCAGGCTCCGCTGCTGCTGCATGGATGGGGGGGGGAAGGATAGGGGAGGCAGCAGCAGCAGCAGCAACAGCAGCACAGCAGAACGGCAGAGCAGCAGCAGAAGAGAGCAGAAGAGGAAGAGCAAAAGAGTGAGGGAGTGCACGGGGGCAGAGGCGAGAGAGAGCATGCTGCCGTGCAGGTTCACTCCCACGTGGTGGTCGGGGTGGTCGAAGAATTCAGGAGAAGAGGATGTGTCGAATTCCACTGCCATGCTCCACTGCTGCACGGATTGGGGGGAGGAGAGTGGGTGAGGGGGGTGTGGGCGTGGACTTGTGGGACTGATGTGTCAAGCTCCACTGCCAGGCTCTGCTGCTGCACGGTTGGTGGGTGGTGGAGGGTGGTGGAGGGTGGGGGAGGGTGGGGGTTGGGAACGGGACATTCTGAGACGTCTCTAGGTTTAGGAGACTAAGATGTGTCAAGCTCCACTGCCAGGCTCCGGTGCTGCTGTGCATGTAGGGGGGAGCGGCAAAGGGGAGTGGCAAAGGAGCAGCATAAGAGAACAAGGCATGAGGAGGAAGACCAGCGGGCAATAAACAGGGAAGACGAAAGGCGAGAGACGGAAGGCGAGAGATGGAAGGCGAGAAATGGAAGAGATGAAACTAATGAGCATACCTCCTCTTGGTGGGCCGAACGAGGGCAGGGGTATCATCATAAAGACTTTTTCGCCCTCCTGGCCTATCCCCACCGCCTTGAGAGAAAAGAGCTGTTTCTGAGGTAACACATACCTGAGATTAGGCATGAGCAGGGTACCATGCCTAAGACATACCTGCTCATGCCTACCGGAGATGACATGTACCTGAGATGACATGTACCTGAGATGAAACGTACCTGAGATGACACGTACCTGAGATGACATGTACCTGAGATGACACGTCACTGGAATGATCAGCACCAGTCGTGCTACCGGGCGGCAGCGGCACGCGGCCGTAGCCCAGGGAGGGCCCGGGCAAGCCGAGCGTGGGCGTCGGCAGCATCACAAACGCCAAGCCCTCGCCGCCCAGCCCGGCAGCGTTGGGAGAGGAGATGCGGAAGGCGAAGGAGGTGGAGAAGGAGAAGGGGCGGCAGGGGGAGGCGGGCGTGGCGGGGGCGAGGAGGGCGAAGGGGACGGGGTGCAGCGCAAGAGCAGCAGAGTTAAGGTTGGAGAGCGTGGTGAGGGCGAGGGAGGATGAATTGCGGCGAGCTGAGCCGGCTGTGAGGAGCGGATGGACTCTGGAGAGCGGCCAGTGGGAGAAGCATTTGAGGGGGGACGGGTTGGCTGCAGCGGACAAGGATGGGGAGTTGAAGGGGATGGGGGGAGGTGAAGGTTGAAGAGGAGTGGGAGCGAAAGTGAAACGAGGGATCGATCGTGCACTTGCACGGGAGGTTAGGCCTTGGGTATGTGCAGCGCATGCTTTCTTCTGCTATACCTGTGATGTGAGTCGTCACACACCTGTGATGTGAGTGGGTGGGAGTTGGGCATGAGTGCAGCGCATGCTTTCAGCCAACTATACATGTGACACACCTGTGACCCTGGCAGCCATTGCTGTCTTTCTCACTCACTGCGAGTGGGCATGACAGACGCAAGGTCGATATCAGTGCTCCCCGCTCCTGCTCCTCCTCCCACTTCCGCCACCACACCCACTCGCTTTACCACTGCCGCCTTTACTCCCACTCCCGCACCTGCTGCTCCTCCCGTACTCGCTGCAACAGTGGCGCTGGTGGTGCCGATGCTACTGCTGTCACTGCTGCTGGCAGCTATGCTGCTAGTGGTGCTGGAAATACTGCTGGTGGTGGCAACGGTGGCAGTGCCGCTCGTGCTGTTACTGCTGCTGTTACTGTCTTGCAAACCTCGAATCACCAAGTGCAGCGCCACTCCCCCTGGGGGCACTACCAGCGAGGAAGGGGAAGAGGCGGAGGAAGAAGAGGATGAATCCGGGGGGTCAGGGAGGGGGAAGAGGAGGGGTCCCACTTGGAACCAAGGCAAGGCGCCGGACAAACTCGCTCTGCTCCCCCCACACGGCACGCCCACCCGCCACTCCGCCCACACCTGCTCCCCTGCTCCTCCTTCCCCCCCTCCCCCAGTTGTTCCATCTCCCCCTGCTGTGGCGGGGCCGGAAGCATTCAGCGGAACTGCCAGCAGCAGCACCTTCAACAGCCGCTCCGCCTCCCCTTCCGCGCCCTCTTCCCCTTCCGCGCACAGGCTGGCGCGCGCAAAGAACGAGAGGGACAGCTGGCGCGGGGACTGCTGCTGCTGCTGCTGCTGCGCCTGCTGCGACACATTGATGGTCGGCGCCGCGGCGGGTTTGAGTTCGCACAGCGCTTGCGCCACGCCTGGGCCGCCAAACGCGCTACCACTACTACTAGAGTTGCTACCATTGCTACTTCCAGAAGCGTCGTCGTCACTAAGCGACGCGGAAATAGCGGACGTCAGCCGTAAGAAACGGGACCCGTCAGCTGCCAGTAGGGTGTCCGTGACTCCCGTGACCCCATTATTTATTGACACGTCAGCAGCCGACGCCGCCCCCGCGGCTGTCGCGATTGCTTCCGCCAATGTCGCACCGGCTGACGTAAGCAATGGTCCGAGTTTTGCGCCGCCAGATGCGGCGGTGGCTAAGAACTCGTCGGTTGAAATTGTTTCTCCAGGTTCCAAGGCGCGCCACGGGAATAAGTACGGCCATGGATCGCAGGACGCGTTCAGCTTCTTGCGACGCCATCCAGTATCGAGACAGCTTGTATCGAAGCTAGGGTTCGAGAGGAGGTTTGACGATTCACCTGTGAGGGCAAAGAAGGGGGTATAATGGAAGAGAATTGGGGATTAATAGGGTAATTGATCGGATCATGGCAACGAAACCTTATAAGATGCAGCTTCGCGAGTTTTTGAGACGTTGGCGGCAATAGGGAGGGCTTTGAACGAAAAAACGGGAGAAGCGAAATGCACGCCAACAAGTGACCGGAATGGGGAAGAAGGGGATAAAACCATCATAATGGCTGGAGGCAAAAGGAACGAGTAAAATACGGAAAGAGAGGGTGACGAAACGAGATTGAGTAGAGACCCCTCATTACAAGTGTGCTTACGACCTGACTTCTTAGTATAGCGACGACACGGACAACGGCGACGAAACAGTCAGCGGCGACGAAACAGTCAGCGGCGACGAAACCGTCAGCGGCGACGAAACAGTCAACGGCGGTGATACCAGGAACGGGAAAAGCGGAGCCTCTTGGATTGGTAAGGTTATGGCAGTCGACGAGACTCGGCTGCCTAGTATATCGACGAAACAGTCAACGGCGGTAATCCCTGGGAACGAGGAAAAGCGGAGCCTCTTACTTGGATTGGTAAGATTATGGCAGTCAACGAGACCATCAGCGACACGAACAAAGGCTACGACATGGAGGAGAAACGTAACCCGACGGAAAATCGCGACATGGAGAAGACACGTGGCTCCTGGTTGAACCCGCAATCTGCGGCGAGAGACGCGGCAGGAATTCATCGGCTCCGACGCGTTTCTGAGGATAACTTTTCCCAAACGGACTACTTTTTACGACTCGGGAAAATATATTTCCGCCACGTAGACCGCTTATCGGAAAGGTTGCACTCTGAAAGAGGCTCGGACGTTCCGTCCCGGACTGACACTCGCCATTCTGAGTGGGCCTGTTCCGGCGAGCTATGCTATGGGTCCTAGTCAGGGCTGTCGCTTGCAGGGCGTTTGCCCTGCTGGACCTTGAATTCCAGGGCTGGGTTGCCCTTGAAAACTGAAATTGATGGGTTGGAAATATTCTGGCCCTGATTCTTTACAGGGCTGATTTCGGGCTCAGGCTTGGTGTGTTAAGGGCAGATTTTAGGCGAGCCCTGGAACAAAATATCTCGAGACCCCCCTTCCACTCCCCTCCCCCCCCCCAACACTCCTCCCTCTCCTTCCCCTTCGTTTCTAACCTGATTGCATCCAACAAGGCAATTTCGAGTTGCTCGGTTGGGCCACAAATTCAACTCAGCCTAGAACTTGTGCTTAAACCAATCACAGCTCGCTCTCTGTGGAGTGGGTGACGGTTAAGGTTGGGTAGAAGTGCACAAGAACTACCCTGAAGGTTGGGTAGTAAAGATGTGCAGACGATCATCGGTTCTGCAAAGACTAGGAAGCCTGCAAAGCGTGCGTAGTGATATGACGCTAACTATTTCTCTTCTTGTCGTGTTTGCTTGCTTGTCGTTGATCTCAAACGTAGTTGTAAGCTTGGTAGTTGAAATGAGGCTCCCGATTTTTTCGCGCCAAACCTGATTCAAGGGAGGAAAATTTTCTAGCCCTGAAGCCTAAAGGGCCGAGATTCGCCCCAACCCTGCTAAATACAGGGTCATACATGCCGGGCCCCCTGATTTGTCCGGGGGGCCCAAAACGAAACAACAGGCCTGGTCCTAGTACTACAAGAAGCACAGCGACGGTAACGGCAGTCACGCACTGTTGACGAGAGCGCTACACTCATGCGGGCACAGCTGGAGCTTGTGCAGAGGGTGGAGGAGATGGGGAGTGTCTGTACACACGATGCCCGTTTGACTAACCCAAGGTTGCCTTGCTAAGAGGGCTCTTAAGTGATTCTTACAGTTCGCTAAGCTTTCGTCAAACCGCACTTAGCAAAAAGGGCTTTTTAAAAGATTTTGTAACTCGCTGTTGACCGTTTGACATGGGTCTCTTCTGTCAAACTTCGGTTTTTGTGGTTCGTATTGCTCGAGGTGCTTATAAATGGGGTGCAACTGCCTGGTACCCTAATACCCGGGTGCAGAGTTTCCATCGCGAGCAGAGCAAATTCGCATGCGGGGGTTGGGCATCTTGTGTACACCCATAGTTATGTAATCTCGAGAGTCCGGTATCTTGGCCTCTGGTCACCTTAGGTCTATCTCGTGGTCATGTACACGTGTACTGCACTGCCCACGAAGTTCAGGACGCGGTTAAAGTGAAGAAATCGGAGGATCGTGAAACTTGTCGAATCTCAAGATCGCTTTTGGGAATCGATCAGTGAAACAATCTGTTGTAACGATCGGAAGAAAATGTCGACATCTATGTTCCATTCCCGGAAATCACTTTGGCGTGCAGATGTCACCCACTTTGTACAGTTTCGTAAAAGCATGAGTGCGAAATGTGAAAATTGTGCGATGTGTTTCACCCGATTAGCGAAATATTGTCACGTCGCAAGCACCTGGATCAGTCGTCACTGTCATGCTCGGTTCGTCGGCATCTGCTTCCCAGCGATGTCGCGATTAATTAACGATCAGTCGTCCTGTCTGAATGTATGTGTATTTTGTATAGGTTACTGTATCTAAGTTACTTTTCCGAAAGCAGGGTACATAATCCGCACATCGATGCTAAGGACGATTGATGGTCTACTTTTGGATGCGTTCTGCATGCGCATCAGCCTGATGCGCCTGAGGCTCGGCCTGATGCGGACATTGGGACATTCATACATTTTGGTTCGGATTACTAAAATCCATATCCCTTACATTAAAATTTAGACGACCAAAATGTTTTGGGTTTCTTGGAAGATTACCACGCGGAAATTTTGGGATGCCAACCAATGAGGGTTTACGGAAAAAAAAACTTATTGGCTAATGGCGGTGCCCGGCAACAGCTGATGCGCGCATCATGCGACTTCGAGCTGTTGCTATTGAAGTGAAAGGCCCCGCCCTCGCTTGGGCGCAGGCATTATCTGCGATGACGTGGTGAATTCGACGAAGTGATCGTCGCATTGGATAAGCCCGTCCTCTGAAACCACGGTGGGTTTCCGAGGAGGTGGTCTTCTGATTCACCAGCCCATTAACGAGCTATGGTCGACGGGGTGCTGTTCGACGAGCTCGTCCTCTGATCTGCTAGTGAGTCGCGCGATCTCTGACGGACAGGGTGCAGTCCGAAGAGCCTCCTTCTCTGATCGAAGGGCGCCGTTCGGCCTGCCTCGTCTCGGCGAATTGGTTGGCCGAATTCGCGCGACTGCGGAACTCTGCGAAGGCATGCGAAATTCGCTCATGTGGTTCGTAGCGAAATTTCACATGCGGAATGGCATCACGTGCTCTGTGGTAGACATCTGACGAAACCGTCGGAAAATTTTCTACCCGGCACCTACCCAATGTCTCTGACGGTGTGACCGTTTACCTGCACCTACACAACAGATACACACCTGCGCGGATATTCACCTGCGAATGCAGCGCTAGCAGGCCGCCCTGTTGCAGCGCTGGCATGTCGCCCTTCTGCTACGCTGGCAGGCCGCCCCGTTTCAGCGCTGGCGAACCGCTCTGATGCAGTGCTAGCAATTCGCCTTGCAGAATGCTTGCTAGGGATTCCAATGCCATTCCAGTGATATCACTTGCATGCTCTTCTTTGTACTCTAATTCTCAACTTTCAATGTTCTTTCAATTTCCTTAGTGGAAACTCTTGCCAAATTTCTCAGTGAATAGAGCAAGTAGTGAGAACTCTGTTAGAATGCTACTAGATTGCTGCGATCACCCACACAACCCCGTGCCCTCCTTCGTAGTCCACTCCCGTTGTAACGTGCCTCTCCACATGGTGCGGTGAGCGTGGAACGGCCACGCGTTAGGACCTTCAGATTAGTTGACTTCTGTGTTAATTACCTAAGTTGCAGTTGGCCAGCAACCTGTTATAGTCAAGAGTCCACTTAGAGGTCGCGGATGCCCATGAAACCGCCTAAGCAGAATCTGACGTCTTCAAACTGCCTCTGTTCAAAACGTCGTCACGATCATTTCCGATAACACATGAAGCTGAAACTTGGACAGCAGTTAGCCTTAAGTGTCTGCTTTTCAACGGTGTATTGCTTGCTTTCACCAGAGGTGTATGCGCTACGCTATGAACAAAAACGTAAGCTCAGCTGAAAAACGTGTATTCTCATTGATGCAAGGAAGAGGTGAGTACAACATTGCCTAGGGGACTCATAAGGGGTTAGGTCATCCTGGGAACTCAGAGAAGGTTGAGTCATAGGGGAGAAAGGCTAGAGAAGGATGGGAAACGTCCTAGCTAGGTCAGCAAAGCCAACCACACTTGGATGTTCAGAGCTGTACTCAAGGCTACCAATAGTGAGTCAAGCCAACATGAGTCAGCTTGTCTTCCCACTTGCACCCTCTTGCAAGCTGCTTCCAGGAAGACCACACTTCTCAAAAGGAGGGTGGTAGAGTCCCACTTGACCACCTATACTTCTTGTCTCATTCTCTGTCCCTGCACCATTGGCATGACAACAATGAAAGGGTGGCAAGGGAAATGCTGCCAACAGTGCACCATGACTATGGAACAGTGAATTTCGGCAGCTGTCACGCAATGTTCAGATGTTGGATCGTTCTGAAACTTGGTGACCATCTGCACAGCGGGGCAAAGGACTGCCAGACCGAGTTTCAGACCAATCCGAGCTCGGTAGACGAGTCAGCAGCCGAAATGGTGAACTCGGGTGTTACCAAAAAGGAGTAACACACACTCCCGGGATGCCATAAGTCTTGAAACATAAAATGTTGTCATGCCTTGGTAACTGCTTCAAAAACTCTGAAACTTTGAGGGTTTGAAGAACACATGTTGAACATCCTCCCCACAAAATTCCAGAAGCTGAGCAGGCTTGTAGGCCGAATGGGAGTGCGATGACCGTGCCACTGTAATGTGTTGGCACAACAAACTCCCCCTCATCGTGCTCTCATTCATCCCTTAGCTGCTCCCTGAAGCTGCCTCCCTTAGTTGAAGGACATGCCACACAAGGTGGCGCAGGTCCAATGCTGATGCTCTGCAAGCCGCTTCGTAAAAAAATCTGCAGGTTGCTTGGTAGTGTTGATGTAGTGCAAGGAGACCGTGCCCTTCTTCACCTCCTTCCTCACCCAATGCCATTTGATATGCATGTGCTTGTTCAGCCCATGGAGCACAGCATTGCGAGCCATTGCAATTGCTCCTTAGCTGTCACAAAACACAGGTGTTGGACCCTCTTGCTCCTGCCCCAACTCCTCAAGCAACCTCC